CTAGATCATGATGCCTGGAGATTGGCAGGTAAATGCATAAGAATGTGCCGTTAATTGTATCGGCAAGCCAATTGGTTATTTAATTGGCTAGTTCAGTGTATAAGCATGAATTTAACTACATCAACCAGAAAGGAGGGATTGAATTAAGGGGATAGACTCGTTGAAAAATTTATCTGTCAAATCAATTTATTCCATTTCTGATTGAAACTTTCAAAAAATCAACATTCCTAACTGATTTTTATATTTATTACTTTGATATAATTAATTTAGATTTTATTCTTCAAAAAAAAGTATGCAGGTGTAATTTAATCATGAAATTTTTATTCAAAATTGTATTCTGAATGAATTTAAGCTAGACGTTGTTGCATTAATGAAGTCAGTCGTAGCATTAGATGCTAATGTATGAGATAATTTATTTAAAAATCCATTTTTTATTTCGCCTGGAGAACGCTATATCCCTTTAAAGAATTAGATAGGTTTATGCACCCACGTGTGTTTGATTGCATACGTTAATAAAGTGCCGTGGGTTCGACTTTCACATGCCGAGTATACATGCACAGATTGGCAGCACTCATCGAGATCCCGCTGCTAATGCCAGTCGCATTTATCTCTCCATTTCTCGATTACCAATCGATCGATCTATCGTGAAGCACAGGAAATAAAAATGGCTAGGATTGTGCAGCCGAGTTACGACTTTCTTATTGGTGGTTTTGCGCATTGGTAGTAGAAAGTGTATACGCATCGAGTGAGATCGCTAATTCACAGGAGCCATTCCTCAGACACGTCAATGCGGAACTCTGAAGAACATTAACGTGTTTAGACTCAGGGATATTCAGTATGGTAGGTTCGTAAAACTATTCAATGCTGATCTGTTAGCTGAGAAAGGTCATTAATAATGTTTAGTCAGCAACGAATCATCGTACTTGAGAAATCTTACCACGACAATCATAAGTCAGGAATTTTATTAAGAGTGGGAAGATAAATCAACGTTCCTACAATGTCTTCAATTAATATTTTTATTCACTTGCATGCATCAAGTTAAATGAACTTGTGTTTATTCAATATTATTACTATTTCAACATCATAAATTATTATAATAAAATTATTAGATCATATTATATTGCAAATCAAAGTACTTTGTTGGCAATGTTTTATTCCACTTTATGACTAAGAGGTTTGTAAATGCTTGCCTTAAATTCAATAAAATCTGTGAAATATCTGAACGATGAATAAATGAAAGAATATTTTGTTTTAAGTGAAAAATAGACAATAAATTAAATGGTTAAAATTGATTTTAGATTGGCAATTAAATAGTATTACTGAAGAATTCGTTCAATTGCATAAACTTTTATAAATTATCAGTTTGATCATATATATTCATTGACTTTCATCGCATGGGTAATTTTATTGGATTGCTTGATAGAATAGAAGCAATATAGGAACATGTCGATTGTTGGAGAAGCATGAAGGACATCAATGAGAGAGGTTAGTGAAGAGAACAAACGTTCGACATTTGATAGGAGAATGGCTGTCGATAATCTGTTGAAAAATACATAGTCACAGAAGAACAATTCTAATACTGAGTTTCTGTAATATTCAACCTATTGATCAAGGATTTATGGTTGAGAATAGACAAATGCTTTTATATTTATAATTGATTATAGCTATATCCACTTTTACTTCAAATTTACTATCAATGTCTTGGATTAAATAGTGACATTTATTATTCTAAACATGAAATATTTTAAAACTAACCTTTTAAATGATTTTCAAACTCTAAAACTAACGGAAAAGCTTTTACTCATAACTTGTAAAATATAACATATATAAAACCCATTGAAAAGCTATTTTTTCTAGCATTAGTGAAAAATTTGTTCATGAAGTATAAATGTTTGCAGTTGAAAGTATGTTTGTTTAGCCACTAAAAACGATGTTGAAAAAAGACAAAAAATATAGTTTTAAACTTGAAAATGTGGAGTTCAATTAAATGCAACTTTTAGTAAATTTTTATAACTGTTATGAGTAATAGAAAATAGTAAAAAGAGGTTCAAGAAGATGAATTTCCTGAATAATATAGTTAATATAGCTGTAGATGATACAAATATGATTACTTTCGATAAAGATGAGTGATTATTCAAGATAGAACAAGTTCATTTGCGCGCTTCAACGCTGCTATTGATAGGAGAATATCGCGCAAGCCAAATTGATTTTCCACAGCCACTGCATCGTGGTGTGCCTCGTGTGGCACGCGGTTGCACTCGACTGTTGCAACTGCGACCCCAGCAAACATACAGTAAACCGACGTACGTTTCGATATCGAGAATATATACGATTCTACAAGAGCGCACATCAACGATTGGCATGCGCCTACACGCTTTATAATAGCAAACAATTTACTGATCGCAAAAAGTCTGATTGTAGCAAGCCGCTATCTGATTTGCGTCGGTCGATCGACTCCCTCGTGCGACTCGAGGGAGTGCCTCCGTATATGCTGTACGGCATGGGAAACTAACGCACTTGAATATTCGTATATTCACGCATTCAGATATTTAATGACTTTTCGCATTGCGATTTGCCAATGATTAAGAACCTATTTATCGTTTTGTGGACCTTACAATATTCAACTTTTATAAATAATCACTTCATAGTCCAACTCACAGCGACAAGTTTGAGCACGCAGTCAATTATTATTAACTTTCCATTAGGAAGTTATTGTATAATGGGGGGAGGGGGGATTTTTAAAATTCGTACATTGAGAAAAAAATTTACTTCATACAAAAAATATTTCATTCGATCATTAACATCGAAATTTCAAATAGTCGCAATAAAATATTCCTTCGAAATTATGAATATTTCATTGAAATCATTTTACTTACTCAAATGAATAAAATGTTATTTGTTTTCATTCTTGTCGTAACCTTGAAAATTTGTTTTCAAACTTGTCGCAACATTGAAACAAAAGACAAAATGTGTTTTTGATAACACTACTATTAGTCTGAATAAAATATTATCTTGAGAATATTCCAAGTTTCTTTTATTGATTGAATAAAAATTTTTTTCATTTAACGAAATTTTTTTCTCAGTGTAGTTTTATCATATCTTTACACTGCAAATCCAAGTTGTAGACACTTTTAAAACACTAAGCCTTTTCAATGTTAAATGTCATAAACAAACTATAGATTTTTTACACACTACGAAACGTGTAAGAAGTGTCTACAAATCATGCATAGTTTGTTAATAGGCCTTTTACATTAAACACACTTTACGCGTGTTATTTTAACACGTTTGTGAAATTCTAGAATTTGCAGTGTATGTTTTGAGATATTTAAATGCATATTAGAAGATTTAAAAATGAATTTATGTACGAACGTATGTTTTTTTTCGTTTTCGATATCTCGATTTATAATTATTATTAAATATATATATATAGAAAAAAATAATTAACTCAATAATAATTGTTTTCAAGTAACGACTAAACAATAATTAAGTATTATTAATATTATTTTTAATGATTATCTCAATATATAATTATTAAGAAGAAGATCTAGAAAAAGATTGAACAAATTCGATCTGGTTATTTTTTTTATAATAAAATGACTGTAAAATAAGTTGAGTAAAAAAGACATTTGAAATAAATCCTACTTATTAAGTGATTAATATTGTTGAAAATGGAGCTCAATATCAATACAATATGGTTGTTAATGACTCCACATGACTAAAAAATTATATATTATTTATAATAATTTTAATTTGTTATAAACAATGAGAAATAGGTTCAATTTATTAAATTATTATTGTCGTGATGATATTCGATAAGTATTGATAAAATTTTGTTATAAATAACTTGATGTGATTAAACAATTGTATGTTGTTCATAACAAGAGCAATTTGTTATAAACAAAAAAAATAAAATCACGGATTTCAATTAATGGAAAGTTCGTTGACAGGGCACAAAGTAAGCTCAGACCCGTTTTATTTTTATTATTTTTGAAAACATTGATAGGAAGGATTCATTGTATGAGTTATAGAGAAACATAATAAATTTATTTAAAATGTTTTTCAGTTGCCAATTTCTATTTTTTTGGTTTGTTGATAATATCAAATTTCTACGAGTTGAAATACAAACTTTTAGAGTATTTATTTGGAGTATTTTTGGCTAATACTCTTCCATAGGCATTTATTTGAGACATTTTTCACGAGAATTTCTGTAGAAGTAGATATTATCTATCAAGACTGATTTATTACCTTAATCCTTTGTTATTGTTTCGGAGTTTCTTTTCAGTCGTGTGACCTAGATAAATTCGTGGAAAATTCTCAACACACAAATTCACATTCTTTACTATTGTCTCGGTTCAGTGTTTTTTTTTTGTCTGGTGACCTAGATAAATTTACGGAAAATTCTCGGCATAAAATTCTTTTAATTTTCATGGAAATTTTTAAATGCCCGCAGTGGAATAAAGTAATTATTTTCTTCACCATGCCTTTATTTTTTCTTCGTAGTATTTTAATACTTATTAATCAGAGTAATTTTCTCATAGAAATGTGTTCGTAGTTTTTTCATCTGAATTATATGTTTATAAAGATCGTGTTGAAGATGAAAATTTTGACTGCTGAGTAAATTATTGTTAATTTGAAATTATAAAATTATTCTAAACTGAACTTTATAATAATTCATTTATTTTTCTATGAAATGAAAAGTTTTTAAATAACTGAAGGGTTTATTATATTTTGTGTCCCTCTATAATTATTTGCACGATGTCGATGATACAATTGATAAATCTAGTTTACACAAATGTGCTCTACTTACAATTAATGCATATATATATACTTTATGCATGCAAAAATGTGCAGCAACTCATTTGCAAATATTTAATCCACTAGAGAGTTGAGAAAAATTTTTTAATATTTATCATATTATTTACATACACGTGTTCTTTTTATATCAAGATTTGTTTATGTATTTAATTCTATGTTGACAAGTTAATTATTTTTTTGCGTTTTGCATATATTTTTATTTAATTTTCATTGAGAAAATGAACATAAATATATTTTGTATAGAAAAAGGATTAAACTATTTTATAAAGAAATCAATTTTTCAGGAGACCATACAAAAAATCAGTACTTTGTTTAAAAGGTGCTTTGGCAATTGTGAACAATGTTGCCAAATTGTCTTTACTACTTTCCACACCAGCATTGAAAAATTTGCCAGTCGATTGGAGACTTTTATCTACTGAATTACGAACTGATTCTCGAGTGTTTTTAAAAGCGTTCACACCAGAGTCGTAAACCTTGTTAGCGACATTTTGTATCTATTATGGAATAAAAGTATTTAATAAAATTATTATTTTTAAAATATTAAACACTAATAAATTAATTCAATTTTTTACCCCTTCGGCATAGTTTGAAGCATCATATTTTAATTTATCTACCACATTTTGTAGGAAATCTTCTTGCTCCTGACGTTCACCTTCAAGGGTATGTTGTACCTGTCAAATAAAAAATGTAAATGTCTTCATTGTTGGGTTTTCTTTTTCTCGAAACATTATAATAAGTTAACAGAATTGTTTATTACATTGTCAGCAATCTTTTCTGCTGTGTCTATGCCTTTTTCGTAGTTATCATTGAATGATCTCTTCGCCTACAATTGATGAGATAAATAATTGTAAAAAAATTACTACGATTATTGTCAATAGGATTTTTTACTTACATCTTCAGCAGTCGTATCAACAGCATCTTTCATCTCATGAAATTCATCGTTTATGTAGTTTCCATCCTATTGAAAAAATCATGAAATACAATTAAATTGTACCAATGATATATCTTTATTATATCAAGAATAAATATTGATACTTTATCTGATGAAAACATAAAATCACTATCTTCATTCCTATTTCTACCAGGAGCACAGTTTATCTACGATAAAAAAATAAAATACTTCACTAAAATTGATGGTTTTATGAATTTATCTTCATATAGAGGAATTATTAAAAAATAAAATATTATGAATTATCAATATTTGAAATTGGTTTTTCTAATTCATGTAACATAGTGAAACATTTTACCTGGTTGTATATACAACTAATGAGAAAAAAGCAGAATATTCGAGAAAACATTTCAATAAACTGATATAAAATATCTAGAAAGACTCGTAAAATTCGACGGAGATATCAATAAGTCTGATAATAAAATATACTGATGGCTTTTATAGGTATTTATAGGATCCATACGAGTTAAGAAGTGGCAGTGTAGATCTAGATAAACATTTGTGCAAATATTTTTCCAGTAATATCTAGTTTACTTTTAGTATTGAATAGGAAAAAAAAAATAATTGGTATAACACAAATCCTTTAGATCATTTTATTTATCAAATATTTTCTCGTCTATCCAAACAATGTAAAATTTTAATGTAACTTTTATGATATTTTTTTATTTTAATATTTTAATTATTCACATCGTTACTCTTCACCACGATGAATAATTCATCATAAATTATTACGCAGTATCCATTTGATTATTCCAATGTTACATATAAAATAGAACAGACTGTATATAATTTATTCCACGTGCCATACTGTTGCGTAAAGATCATTGTCCTAAAAAAGATAATATATTTAATGTAATAAACAAATAGAAAAAAGATGATAATTGGGTGTATTGTATAAATATAATAGACGCAAAAATATTTATCCATAACTTTCTCAAGGAACATTGTTTGAAAATGAAAAGTGATCTATTCACTGTGTGTATGAAAACGTCGTGAAACTCAGAAGACATTTCTCTTGGTTTGTATATATAAAGTCTCTTTAATGATATATAAATTACGATTAACAAACATCGAGAGAATTTATACATCGTATATGGGAGACGCATAGATGAAAGTTTACGATGCAACTCGCACGCATGTACTACGTATTACCTACATCCGGCTTGTATATAGACATACATACATATAAAAACGAAAAAAGGTCATTGTTTAAATGACAATGAACAATGTCACGATTTTCTCATAAGAATTATCGTTCATTAGGATTTTTTGTTGTTTAATATGTCATTTTTGCTGAGCTTTCAGTCTTAAAAGTACACTAGAGCATTCTTCATGTCATATACTTTTAACTTTCACATTTTCACATTTTTTCCTTTATCTTCTATTCTCATGCAATTCTCGGGACATGTTGGATCTGTATCCAGACGGCGAGAAGAGTTGGGAGCAGCTGTTACCTTAGCACAATGTCGTGTCTCTTATGGACGAATACTTTTAAATGTGCAAGGCCGACCGATTATTTCTGGCGTTTTCTATCTTGGGTTTCTTCGTTGCGTGACAATGAGTGCGAAGCTGAACGTCGTCGAAGGTTTATATACTTGGCGTGAGATTGGCGCACTCATTAATGGTGAGCAAAAGTGCCGGTAAATCTGTTTGAAACTCACCTGTCCATCGTTCAATTCACCGTCTCGAGTTTTATACGATATGTATCAAAGTCGGTTCGATGAGTGACACTAGCCAGATGTCGGAGAAAAACAGACAGAATGTGATCGTCCAAGGATACTATTTTTTATTTTATTTAAAAACCCTACAAGTGGTGATTTCGATGAAAAAATTATTGCATAATTACCTTACAAGTATCTAATTAAAATAAATTGCTTAAGAGACATTCAATATATTAGAAATTATAGCACCGTAATATATTACGAGAATACATAATTTAATCATATTTATTTTAATTATTATTCATACAGTAACATCCAAAAGCTGCAGGGATTAATATCAATTGAAAATATTCTCTTTATTCTTGTATTTATTATTTAAATTCACATTATATTACGAATGTTTTATTTATTCGTTTTGATATTCAGAAAAATTATACAAAAATTCTCTATACTCTTTGATAATGTTTTTTATTGACTTTTTAAGAGCACTGTGCTGATATAAATAATAAAATAATCAGGCAATCGAATGAACAAAGTGTAGGCTAAAGTTACTCAAGTAGACTCATTCAGGTATAACAGGTTGACAAGTTGATATAAAATATTTGAAAAAAATGTTAATTTTATAAAAATAATTAAACGGTGATAATGAATATTTTATTTATTGATTTATGAGACGAATTTTTCTTTCGAGATCGTGAATTTTTTTTTTTATAAATGGAATATGTATAAGAAATTATTATGATTAATAAATTACGATACTTGAAAAGTCAAGTAGTTGATCATTGCATTTTTTTTTTTTTTGTATTATTATTTTTCATATGAAGGCTATATTTGCTTCTTTGGAGACAAGATATAGGTATATAAGGACATACATATATAGTTTACATGCATGACACTCAGACATCGTTTATGGTTTATTAATGCAAAAGAAGAAAGTCTAATGTAACTTATACAAGTGACCCAGAAGCTTTTCAGAGAGACTCTCAAACCTGTACTGGCAATTTCGCGGTCGCAGCACGAACGCGGCAATGATCACTCGTGTCGTTGTTCACTGGCGTGGAACGCGACAAGCAAAAGGAGATAGTTGGCATTGCATACTTATTTGCCTTGTCATATTCCCTTGATACGTCTAAATTCCGCTTGATCTGCATATACATACACCTTATTGAGAACAAACTTAGGGCACTTGTCCTATCGACCTCCCACAAGTGCTTATGTTATTATCTATTCCATTGGTGCTTTCACCTTTTATCTAACGTACGATTTATGCGAATCAAGATTAGAAATCGACGCGATCGCACGTATGAATAAAGCGGGTGGGCTGTGCTCAATTTGACATAAAAAGTCGACAAAAAGCTTCTATTTTTAATCGATAGAGACTTATTACGATCATAAGTTATAAATTTAGTGATCAATTGAGTTGGAATCACTTTTTTTTATACCTTTCTATTGATTGCTAAACTATTCGATGAGTCTTTTGGATACTACAAGAAATCAATACTTTAAAATTGAAAAATTTTTGAATGTAAAAGTTAATTAAATACACTAGCAAAGTCATTTGATCATGTTGAAACTTTTAATAAATTTAAATTTCGGAGATCACTGAATGAAAACAATTGAAATTTATGAAAATAGGGAAACTATTTTTTAACTTACTAGGGTAAAATTTTGAATTAAAAATACGTTTTAAAGCCAGTTTTGAAGGAGCTGAGAAATGCAGAAAAAGGGCTGATTCCTGATCTATATCCCGCGAGACGAATATAACACCAAAACTTTACTTTTCTCTTCCTTTTCTCGCTATGTCATTCAAGACTTTTACTTTTAAATCATTCAACTTGATGCCCTTTACATTATTCATTCACTAAGACCACAAGATCGAGAGCTCCTTCGCAAGTTTTAAGTATCTTTTTTACTTATTTTTTTTTTTTCTTAGATTTAATGTTATTTATGTGTTGGTTTCTAACACGAAATATATATAAATCAATATTTGCAATAGCTTTAATTTTTTATAGTTAAAGTAATCACTTTTTTCATTCCCTAAAAGAATGCTTACCGTGATGGATGGCATGCTTTTGACTTAGTTAATGTATGAAAACTAAAATAGTGTCAGCAACAATTATGTTTATAGCACTACAATGTTAAGTATATGCAAGGGAATGTAAGAGAAATTTTTTTATGTCTATTTTAAGAGCCAGTACTAAAAAGAATAAGTACTAAGTGCATTTTATGAGGACACTATGATTGCAGAAAGCTTTTTATCGTAAAGTACATATTTTTTTTGTTTAAAACAACAAGTAAGAAATAGAATAAACTGACTACGTAAACGATAAAACTTTATAGCTTTTAATTTCTTTACAGTACTTGTAATTTCATTTAATTTTAAATAAACTTCTTTATTTGGTTTTATTTTACCGTCTTTTCATAATAATTTAATCTTTTATTTACATATAATGATTGACAGAAACGAAAAGTTTTTTAATTAAAAATATTTTTCAGTAACAAAATATAATTTTATTTATGAAAATATATATTACCATTAATTTCTAAATGATGAAAAATTGCAATTAAATTAAATAATTCGCTCACATAGAGAAGAAATTTTTAGCAGTATATTATTACCAACTTCACACTCAAAAAATATTCCTTTCTCAACGTAACGTAATAAGCGAGTATTAAAAATGTAATAATTTTTTTACTAAAGCACGACAATATATTATGAAGAATAATCTTATGTACCTACAATAAACTTAATGATGAAATTTTTTGCAGTTATTTTTATATCGAAAGTGAATTATTTTAACGTAAGGAATGATGAAAAGCCTCATTTATAATGATCGATCGTAGCAATACTGTAATATGACTGCCTTAAAATATAGCTTGTGCATGCTGGACTTAATTATTTACAGTGATCGTAGGAAGTGACAAGGGATAATAAATTTTTTATACGCTCACCTAATTTTATAAAATAGTTTCTCGTAGTACTTTGCACGCCTCCTTGTAGTTGTTTGAGATTCTTATATGAGAGGACAATAAAATGAATTCCGAGCATAAGTCAGTCCAGTTTGATAAAGGTCTGAAACATAATTTTTTTTTTGTTCGGTTTTAACACCGAATGATCGTGTAGGCAGGTATCAAGTTAAGTCATTTGGACGTGGTCGATGTTTGCGTGTTTGCCCGTTTCAAACGATGTAGGTCAACATTTATATTAGCTTTAACCAATTTTTCACAACAGCCACCCTTGCTGTTATTTATCTCGTGGTGGTTATTTCATTGGATTGTGAAAATACCAATGTCGTGATGCATGCGCTTTCAAAATAGTCTGGTCTTCTCTCATTCTCACCCCTCCATGTGCCGTTGACGTTTCGATCTACAGTTGACGATTTGTAGATTATTGTCACATTCATTTTCATTCGTTAAATGAAATGGTATAGTCATACAGACTAGCAGTCTATCACTGCGTGTATTATTTTCGCGTTAAAATATTTGCTCTGTGTAGTCGACCTATACCAATAACGTGAAACGGAATTACTTTTAACCCACAAATTACATTTTATCACATCTTTCCATTATAAAATTTTTTTATTCGATCAAACTTTTCAATTCATTAGCTCAACAAAAACTTTTATCATTGGTTTTTTTTAGTCATTATTTCGTTTATTTGGTAATTTTATTCTATCGCGGTCCTCTCGTTTTTTGGCTCTAGAAAATCGAAAAATCAATATTTTTAAGTGATT